GGGGGGTGTTCGGACAGGCCTGCCCCCACTGCTAAAAAGAATCCTAGAGGAAACACTGTACAGTAAAAGGATATTAATACTACTAATAATAATAATTTTACCACATAAATACAAGATTTTACCATCAAAAGAAACAGTTTTGCTGTAAGAAATACCATATGATGCTATGATGGTGGTTTAATTTCATAAAATCCCTTTAAAATGTCGTATTAGTGAAGGTTTTGCTCTGAGATGTCAGTGTTTTACTGTCTCAGAAAATGTATTTAACCTGTTCAGAGTTTAGAGTTTACTTTTACTTTTACTGTGGTTGTTTGACAGTATTTCACTATAAAATCTACAGACATCCTTCGTAGTGATTGTTTCTTAATATCCAGACGTACACAGAGCAACAAACAGGAATAATGTGTGTGTGTGTGTGTGTGTGTGTGTGTGTGTGTGTGTGCAGGAGACTCTGTCGTGGATCAGATCAGCCTGCTCACAGCTCTGACCGTCTTCCTGTTGTCTGCTGGTCCCGACGTCTGCACCGTTGAGCCGCTGCACACGCTCTGTCTGCAGCGCTTCAACGCCAGCATGGACGCCAAAGACCCGCTGGTCAGTAGCAGAGAGCGATCTTGTGTTTCCTCCATTAATGGAAGAATCGGACAACATTAAAAAACTTTCATTAAAACTTCTGTCTGTTGCAGGTTGTGAGTCGGTGCTATCAGCTGCTGTCGTCGGTGTTTCAGGGTCCGCCCGGCGTGGCCGTCCCGTACATCCAGGCCCTCGGACCGCCGCTGGTTCGATTCCTGCAGGTACTGAACTAAAACAGAACTCCAGCAGCTCGTCTGTGTGTTGTGTTTGTGCTTTTTCTCCCCTGACAAAATTTGTGTTGAGCTCACAAGGAAACCACCCTTGATTACCATCGTGTTTGTGAACTGGATCCAAATAAGATATCACTGTGAACACGAGGAAAAAGATAACGGTCATATCTTACTGATAAATGCTGTAAATGTTTTATTATATTGTGTTTTATTTAAAGTAGAAATCTTCAGATGTGTCTGTCCGTCGCCGTCTGTCTGTGCAGCTGCTGTATTGATCAGATGATATACAGCGGAGGAAGAACTATTCAGGCTTCTTACTTAAGTGAAAGCAGCAATGCCACAACTTCCTGTTCCATTCAAAACTGCATTTAAAAAATGTCATACTGACTTTTATTGATTTCATATACAAATAACTGAAGTAAAAAGTACAATAAAGTGGCATGAAATAGAAATCCTCATGTAAAGTACCACAGACCATAGAAAGTACTCGAGTACATTTAGTTTGTGTAATTTGTGATGTGTGTCTTCCTCAGAAGGCGGAGAGGAGTCGTCCTCAGAGTCCGGAGGAGCTGATGGGAGTCCTGGAGGGAGTCCGAGCCATGGAGGCTCTGGTCCAGGCTGCAGACGAGTCACAGCGTGAGTCAGAGAGAATACGTGCCCTTTAATCTGTCCTATTACGGCAGCATGAGCCTAAAATAAACAGATGTTTCTGTGATTTGATGTCAATAAACGCATTAAAATGATGCTGATATAACGACATCATGGTGGCCCTCAGGTCCTCAGCTGGTGGCCATCTTGTTGCCCCTCCTCATCTCCTTCCTCCTGGATGAAAACGCTCTCGGCTCGGCCCCCGCAGCATCTCGGTCTCTCCACGAGGCGGCGCTCAAAGACCTGATGCGTCTCGGCCCGCAGCACTCCGCCGTCTTCAGGTAACCAATGTAGCACACTTTATAACACATTTATAATCGTTATATAAGGACGTAATAAACGTGTTAATTTAAAAAGAGAAGGAGGGATGATCTGACGTCTTTTCGCCTTCCTCAGGTCTCTCATCGCGTCCTCTCCTCACCTGAAGGCTCGCCTGGAAGCCGCCGTCAAAGGAAACCAGGAGAGTCTGAACGCTAAAGCTAGTGGCGCTAACCCCGCCCGCAGCGCTGCCAAGTCCTCCCCCAGCATCACGCTCAAAACCAACTTCCTGTGAGAGGCCTCGTCACGACACCGCAGCATGGAGGTGTCACCGTGCTGCGTTCACTGTCCCCTGGGACCAATGGTACCGTTGTTGTCTGAGAGACATTAAGGCCGAGTTTTAATGGTAATGATATTTGATGTCATCATGAGTCTTCCAACATGGCGGCGTGTTTCCTCCGTACACGCTGTCCCTGAATCTCACATCGCTGTTCATTTTATTACGAGAAGGAAACAGTTCTGGTGCTTTTACTTTTTAAGATTTTCTTATTGAAAGTCGCTGCTGTCCGATAATCCGCCGCCGTCAGCGCATGCTAAGGAAACGAGCACGGTGCATTCAGGTTCCTGATCGTTACGTCTCACCTCTGAGAGGTCCTTGAATGCACCATGAAGGAGATACAGAACCTCCAGTGATCTGACGCTGAGTAAACGCGGAGCTGTTTTGGTGAAACAATGAAGGGTTTAAAATAAGATTAAATTAGTTCAAAGAGCTGAAACTTTAATCCTCAACAACGATTTCAACAACTGATTAATTAATTAAAGTAATTGATAAGCTAGAAGAAGGAACTATTGAAACCTATAAAGAAGAGACCGAATGTAAGTTACAGTCCGAGTGAATAGAGCAGATTTATTAAGCTATAACATCTCTGGTTCTCTGCCAGCTGATTTTAATAAATGAACTAACGGTTATTATTATCAATTGATTGATTAATTTCTCCATGAATCATGAACTGAAGGCAGTGAGTGTCTGGAGGGAAGGATGTCCATGATGAACTGATAATCTGGTAAATAGTCAGCAGTGATCTGAATCATCGATGATTTGTTGATGAAGAGAAAAGAAAAGTTTCTGTTTTTAGTTCAATATATTTTTTATGTTTTAACTTGTGCTACAGATGTTTTATAGATCGTCACTCTTAAAGGTCCAGTGTGTCACAGTGAGGAGGATCTATTGTCACAATGTAATATCTGAAGGTATGTTTTCATTAGTGTTTAATCACCTGAATAGAAGAACTGTTGTGTTTTAGTTACTGTAGGATGAGTTTTATCTACAGAGGGAGCGATTCCTCTCTGGAGTCCGGCATGTTTCTACGGTAACCCAGAACAGACAAACCAAACGCTGACTCTGGATAAGGACTTTAGTGTTCGTCAACGCCGTCGTAGTTTCTCCTACACGCTCGGAAGGCGAGCTGTATTCAGTTGGTCATAATCTGCAGCTTCACCGCGAGATGCCTCTAAATGGTACACACTGGTTCTTTAATGTTCAGCGTCCATGTTTTATCTCCAGATAGCAAAAATAAAAGTCTGAATAAAACTCGTATGTGATGGAGGAAGACGTCGGGCACTGACTTATGCATCAAATATCTCTCAACTTTCCTTATTTCCACAATTCCAACAGTTCACGGAGCGGAAATATTTAAGTACACTGTGCAGAAGTAACTAATTGGTATTAGCATAAAGTATAAAGGATCCCTTTGACCGGTTTTATCATCGCCAAAATTGAGCCTAAACTGAAGCATTATTTATCTCCCCTCCCAACACGATTGGTACTGATGGATGAGTTCCATCCTCTAGTTTCATATGATACCAGTATCTTCCCTCTACAGCTACAGCATCTGAAAGACAGAGCGGAGTGGAAGAGGGAGGAATAATGGGGTGGCCCCGCCCGTCTGGAGCCGCCCCGACTTTAATCTCAGACTGTTTACTCGTTTCCATTTCCAGTAAACTCTCTCTGATACTCAGACTCCACCCGCCTGGCACAACAAGTACAGTTAAACAAACAGCAGTTACAGCGTCTGTCAGTCAAAGGGAATATTCTCTCAATATTCTGCTTTTATTTTGAAATAATTCACTATTTACTTCCAGGTTTAAGTCTGAAGTCGGCAGTAGAATGAGCTTCTTTCTCCTCTGTCGCTAACAGTGAACGGAGGTCAAAGGTCACGTATTCCTTTGACCGAGCGAATCTGAAAACAAACAAGCGATAAAGAACGTTTTTATGTTTTTTGTGTGAATTTGTTGGTTTTAATGTCGTCTGACAAATCACATGAAAACACAACCTGATTGTTATTATGTACGGCGGCCTGTGAGGGACAATTTTAGTCGTCAGCACTTTAGTTTAACAACACTACAGCGTCACATGTTATCGGTACAAACCATCCACCTGGACCCCGTCTGTGTGCGGGTGGAAGAAAGTGAAGAAAGAATGTAAGTTTGAGTTCATGTGAATGTTCATATCAGAGAAAATCTCAGTCTCAATCAAACACTGAAGATTTAGCTGCAATAGGTGTGTGAGCCAGGTGAGCTGCAGAGTGTGTGAGAGCTCACCTGGCTCTGTGAACTGTACAGGTGAGACCCGAGTGAGTGAGTTAACATGTTGTTTTCTAACAGAATAAAAAAACCTCATTTTCTTCTAATCCTTTTCTGCTTTTCTTTATTTGTCCTGATATAGATACAGTTACAGAAATATGTAATCGGATTACAGTTATAGAAGAAATATGTAATCAGATTACGGTTACATTTAGTAAAAATTGGGATTATTAGCGGGATTACAATAATTTTAACATTAGATCTTTAAAAACAGGAGACCTGTTGTCTTTTAGAATTCATCAATACTGATTATTGATATTTGTTTTCTCTCGTTATTTACATATTTGGTGTTGAAGTAATCCAAAAGTAACAAAGTAATCAAGTTACTTCAGTATTGTGATACTTGGATTAGGTTACTGACTACATTTTAGTTAGTTATCAGATTACATTTTTAATAAACAACACTAAATATATAACTGCTGAGTACGGGGATAATAATGTCAACATGTATATTGTAATATAAAATGAGCTATGTATATAGAATGTATATATATGTATTTATATATATGTATTTATTATGCAGTATATAAAGGGTTTATATGATTGTGTATCAAATAAAATTACATTTACATATTTAATATAAATATAGTAAATATGGTGTAAAAAACGGAGAATAACGTGAAAGCTGAGGTGTTGTCGTCTATAATTAATGAATCTTAATGAATTAATGAGTTTAATATAAATTGTAATTAAAAAAGGATGTGGGAAAGAATATTAGTTTATGTCATGTCATAAATATAAAGGTTAAACTGAACCAGTTGATTATGTTTTATGAGTTTATTATAGTGAATCAGAGTCAGTGGTCTTCAGGTAAATATACAAATATAAATAATAAATAAATATAAATATGTGGTAATGTAGTTCAGTTCTCCATGTTGTGTTTGTTTGTTTGTTGTGAAACTTTCTCTTTGAACACAAACATGTTGCAGCGCCCCCTGACGTCAGCTGCAGCCCTCCAGGTGCTGCCTTTAGGTACCGTCGTAAACCCCACAATGATAAAAAGAAGCGTGATTCAGTAGTAGTTATAAATAAATAGAGGGACATAAAATGGAGGCTGTTTGTGGGGCTAAAATATTTATCATATCAATGTTTATTATATCACATTAAATGAATAAGGAGCCTAACAGGAGCTTTAACGTCCGTACAGCAGTTCAGCATATAATAATATAACTCTACACACTTTATAGTAAATACATTTACTAATGCAGCTCAAACTGATTTGATTAACTATATTTTATTACTTGATCGTTCATTTATCACACAGAGCAGCACAAACAGGTATTAATACAACTGAAGAAGAAAATAACAGAAAGAAATGAGAAGAAAAACAAATAAATCATTTTAATTATTAATTAAGTAAAGGAAATACTTAATCTCAATACTGAACATTGGATCAACCTCCAGTGGAAGGAAGGCGGTTCCCAGCCTGCAGGTCCGGAGGGTCGGGAGGCACACACAGTGTAATGCCTCACTGCCCAACACTGTAATCCAAAAGTCACACAAAGTAATCAAGTTACTTTAATATTGTGATACTTGGATCATGGAGCATTACTGGCAAAATCTTTAATTAGAACCTGTATCAGATTACATTTTTAAAGTTACCCAACCCTGATGGTTAGATATTAATTACTGAGCAGTGTGTTAAGAGTATATTTAGTTTAGTAACTTATGTTGATGCTATTTGCTGTTTCACTGCGTTCTCATGTCCTTAAAATATGAAAGGATTTACTACAGAGAACAACCAGAATCACCCTGATGTGAACACGGATGTTGAATATTAATCGGTTGAAGCAAGAAGGGCACAAACTCTCTGATCACAGCTGGTTGAATGTGAATATTTGCTGGTTTTCAGTGTTGTAACAGCAGACTGGACGTTGAACTGTTGGTCGGACAAAACAAAGCATGAGAGGACACTGATGGGCATTTTCCACTGGTTTTATTAATCCTTCTTCAACAAAACATACTTGAGAAAACATGTAAAAACAAAATGAGTTCCATAAATGAATAAATAAATAAAGATGTAAATAAATAAAGTAAGTAAGAGTTGGCGTTTGTTATGTCCGAGCCCAGGAGCAGCTCCTGAACGCAGCAGCAGCAGTCGGCTCAGCTCTCCATTTCAGTCCGCGGGTGTTCTGCCTCCTCTCGCCGTCCACTCTGACCTTTCTGGGCCCTTCGGAACAAAATGGGAACGCCTTGATTAAACCCGGCACCGGCGACAGACACAGCTCTTCACCCTGCAGTCGGACCCAGAACATCAGACCTACAGACCCGCTGCTGATCGTCTCTGAGCCGAACACAAAACACGGTGAGTGGCTCGTTCCGCAGCTGAAGCGACCCGCGGGCCGGTGTCGCTCGTGGCGTGTGTCCGCCGCTGCGCTGCGGCCTGCCGGCTCTCCCGGAACTCGAGTGCCGCGGCTCGCGTTTGGAGTCGGAGGCCGCGGATGTAGTTGGCTCATCAAATGTACATTAACGGTACATTTAAACACGTAAACACCAGTGACACGCTCTTATTAGCGAGACAGTTAAACGGCGACTGTTTCCTGTCGGTAATTAAAACGTTTTTATTATAAAAACCAGCTGTTATTTCAGCTACCGTTAGCCGGCTAGCGCTCAGAGCAGCTAGCGCGGTGCTAGTCGGCTAACGGTAGCGTTTGGTTGTCGGTAATTAATCCGGTGTTCCGGTAACGAACCAGCAGATCTCTCTGCCGGTAACGAACCAGCAGATCTCTCTGCCGGTAACGAACCAGCAGATCTCTGTGTAACAGTCACAGGTTGTGTTAGAGGCAGCGTTAGCACTGGAGCTAACCGCTAACAGACTGACGGAGAGCCGGACGGGTTAACGAGCAGAACCGCCCGGGAGGTTCTGGTGGAGGGACTGGACTCCTCCTGGAGGCTCGGTTCCGTATGAACGGTGTCATTCTCTGTTCTTTGTGAAGTTAAAGACAAACAACCGACTGTGACTCATTAATAACTTCATTAATAACTGTACTTAAAATTAAGCTGATAAATACACCTGAACATATGGGACCCCCCCCCCCCCCCCCCCCAACACACACACACACACAACCACACACCACCACACACACAACACACACACACGCCACCACCAGGCACACACACACAGCCTGTTCTTGAGCTTTCTATCAGATCACACTGTCCTCCTCCTCCCAGGTGTTTATTGTACACCCAATGAATCCTGAAACCCTCCACACACCTCTGAAAAACTGGAAATTTATTCAAACTGATTAAATACCCTGAAAATAATAATAAATACTATATTATATAAATATAGTTCAACTAGTACACACCGCCGGTTAATATAAATAAATATGTACATGTGTCGAACTCTTTATTGTAACTATTAAGCTCAACTCTAAAACAACTGGAGTTTTTATATAAAATATTTACATGTGAGCCTAGAGAATAACATTAAATATTTAAGGTTTAGAATATTCAGTTAATTCAACTAAAACCAACTAACTTATATTACAGACGCACACAATGCAGAATTTCTTCAAACACACAGAATTTAATATCTGAATATTTAAACGCAGCTTCTTAATACAACGTTTCTGCTTACCTCTGGGTTTTATCCACTACAAAGTAAGTTATTATTATTTATTATTGTTATTGTTGTTATTATTGTTATTATTATGTTATTGTTATTGTTATTATTATTGTTTTATTATTATTACCTGTCAGAACAGCTGAGACTAGTTTAATCAGCGGCGGGAAGCGAGCTAATGTTGGGGACCCGGTAAAAACCCTGGGGGGGTCCAAACGCTGAACACGAAATCTTTAAGAAAAGAATAAAACTGTAGAAACGTGGAAACAATAAAACATTTCTTAAAGAGGAAACGATTCTTCGCACATATTTCAGAACGTATAAAAGTAAATAGAGTAATCCTCCGACTGAACAAACGGTTTAATCAATGAGCACCGTCAGCAGGCAGCTGCTTTAAAATCAATAAAATATTCACGAGAATTTATGTGATTAAAATACAGGACGACTGCATTGTGACCACACCTGAGTGAACACCTTCTGAGGTGAACCTGAGTGAACACCTGAGTGAACACCTGAGTGAACACCTGAGTGAACACCTGAGTGAACACCCTGAGTGAACCCCCGCTCATCTTAAAGAGCGGAGGGTCTTTGGGTCTGTTCCATCCCCTTTCAGATCGAAGTGCTCGAGATGTTTCCCACCCGCAGCAGTCAGTCCTCTCCACTCCTCCTCCTCTCCTCCTCCTCTCCTCCTCCTCCTCTCTCCTCCTCTCCTCCTCCTCCCTCCCCTTCCTCCCTTCTCCTCCTCCTCCTCCTCCTCCTCCTCCTCCTCCTTCCTCCTTCCTCCTCCCTCCACTCACCTTCCTCTTCCTCCCTTCCTCCTCCCCTTCCTCCTCCTCAATCCATCCTCCTCTTCCTCCTCCTTCCCTCCTCCTCCTCCCCTTCCTCCTTCCTCCCCTTCCTCCCTCCCCTTCCTCTCCTCCTCCTCCTCTCTTCCTCCTCCTCCTCCTCTCCTCGCCCTTCCTCCTCCTCCTCCCTCCTCCCTCCCCTTTCCTCCTCCTCCTCTCCTCCTCCTCCTCCTCCTCCTCCTCCTCCTCTCCATCCTCCTCCTCCTCCCTTCCTCCTCTCCTCCTCCTCCTCCCTCTTCCGTCCACTTCCTCCTTCCTCTCCTTCCTCCTCCTCTCTTCTCCCCTTCCTCCTCCTCCCTCTTCCTCCACCTTCCTCTCCTCCTCTTCCTCCCTTCCTCCTCCATCCTCCTCTCCTCCTCCTCCTCCTCCCTCCTCTCCTCTCTCTCCTCCTCCTCCTCCTCCTCCTCCTCCTCCCTCCTCCCCTTCCTCCTTCCTCTTCCTCCTCCCTTCTCCTCCTCCTCATCCTCCTTCTTCCTCCTCCTCCTCCTCCTCCTCCCCTTCCTCCTCCTCCTCTCCTCCTCCCTTCCTCCTCCTCCTCCTCCTCCTCCTCCTCCTCCCTCCCTCCTCCTCCTTCCTCCTCCACTCCTCTTCTCCTCTCCAATTCCTCCTCCCTTCCTTCCTCCCTTCCTCCTTCCTCTCCTTCCTCCTCCTCCCTCTTCCTCCCTTCCTCCTCCTCCCTCTTCCTCCCTTCCTCTCCTCTCTTCCTCCCTTCCTCCTCCTCCTCCTCTCCTCTCCTCCTCCTCCTCCTCCTCCTCCTCCTCCTCCATCCTCCTCCTTCCTCCTCCTCCTCCTCCCTTCTCTCCTCCTCCGTTCCTCCTTCCTCCTCCTCCTTCCTC